GATTTTTGCTTTTTAATTCAAAAGCCGTCAGTAGAAATGGACTTGCTCATATCTTGAAAGATACACAGCCATTGCTATCTGCCCATCAATAATTGTATTATTCTAATAACTGGGTAGGTTTATGAAAAGAAGAAGAAAGAAAACAAAAATATCCACACCGTGTGTCTGCTGGTACTCTCAGTACCAAACACTGAGACCGGGAGAATACGACACTGGCAGAAAAGTGATTTCTCTAATTTAAGCCCTTTTAAAAACTCTGCTGTGTCTGAGAGGTACATCTTCAATAACCAATTTGTAATAACTTAATCAGCCAGAAAACAAGTGTAACTTTTCCAACTTTTCAAAAACACATACCCCTGGGCAGCAGTGAAAACCCTTCCTTCTGCAGTAAGCCCAATGGAGTGCAACTAAAAACAACCGTCATCAACTGTGGCTTTAAAGGCAATATTTCAACATAATCAAATGTGTCAAATATTCATCCTTATAGCTTCTTATGCTGTGGGTTTTAAGTAAGTTTCATTTCTTGGGAATGATTGAACATAACCCACTTGGGGTTCTGCCATCTGTGAATTACTTACATGTGAACACACTATTCAAGAGATGGAAATTTTGATTGCATGTGTGTTTTTTTTTCCCTTGGATGTTGGGCTAATATAGCAATTGAATATAGCTTTTTAAGCAATTATTTTTCATATTAGTTGATACATGCCTGCATTATCAGACACTTCTCACACTCATCACCACTTATCAAGTCATAGGAATTGAGCATGGAGCAGCTGAATTGGAGGAAGAGGCACCAAGCATGAAACCCTAGAGATGGAAAGGAGTATGAAGTCTCGAGCCCAACTCACAAGTCCTGGCCACATGGCTGCAAGTGTGCTGCAGTGTGCTGCACTGTGTGCCTGTGGTTTCCCTGAACGGTTTTCATCTCTTATCACTGAGCAAACAAACAGTACAAGCAACAACAGGGCTATATGTGGGTGCCACATAATTTATAATCCATATATGGACATCTCTGAGAGTCAGTGGAGACATGATTAATAATTACGTCAGGACAACAGGCATGAACCAGGGCTGCCCTGGGCAAATCTCATCTCACTGTCACCCAAGAGGTGATGAGGGGCTCAAAGATCTCTCCCCAAGAGTCTCAAATCATTTCATTAGTGCTATATCTAATTTTATTGTCTAGAGCAACACTGCCCAATAAAATAGAAAAAAACACAGAGGTAATTTTAAGTTTTCTAGTAGCCATGTTAAAAATGTAAAAATAAACAGGTATAAAATTATAAAATAATTTTAACAATGTATTTTAATCAATACAATATACCATACACATTATTAAATATATTAATTATTAATGAGAACTTTTTAGGTTCTTTTTTTCTTTTTCTTTTTTGCGTTGGAGTCTCACTCTGATGCCTAGACTGGAGGGCAATGGCACACTCATGGCCACTGCAGCCTAGACTTGCTGGGCTCAGGTGACCCTTCCACCTCAGCCTTCCAAGTAGCTGGAATTATAGGTGTGCGCTACCATGCCTGGCTATACATTATTTTTTTCATACTTCAGTCTTTGAAATCCAGTGTGAATATCCCACTTTCAATTTGGATCAGACACATTTCAAGTGCTTAATAGCCGCATGTGATTAGTGGCTATGCATACTTGATAATGCAGTAATAACGTAGGCCTAAATTGTCTATAAACTTGAATTTCAGGTATATATTAACAAAGTTATAACACACACACACACACCTACACACACCCACCCACACACACCCCCCCGACACACACACACCCCTTCTTCTAGAAAACAGATACACCTAAGTGTCCTTGTTAACATTTGTACAACAGGGCCGTTAAACTATCTGTCTCTTGCCTGAGGTGGACAGACCTTGAGGAAAATATTCACCAGGTAGGGTCTTTTTTGGGGAACAGAAAGAATGGCTGGGTCACATTAATTATTATTATTTTTTTAGTTGGAGTCTCACTCGGTCGCCCAGACTGGAGTGCAGTGGCCGCTCCCGGCTACCGCAGCCTCACCTGCTGGGCTCCGGCGATCCTTCCGCCTCAGCCTTCCGAGTAGCCGGAATTATAGGCATGCGCTACCACGCCCAGCTGATTTTTTTTTTTATTTATTCTAGAGATGAGGTCTCGCTGCCCAGGCGGGTCTTGAACCCGTGGGTTCAGGCAATCCACTCACCTCGGCCTCCCAAAGGCGCGGGATTACAGGCTGAGACACTGAGCCCGGCCACATTAATTATTAATTAATTAGTAAGCTGGTTAATTGCTGAGAACTTACTTTTCCCAGACTGACATGTGTCCTGCATTCCCAAGTTCAAAACACACACATGAGTGCCATCCATGTTCTTGGCACTAGACAAAGATAAATGAAAGCTGGGCTCAGTGGCTCAGCCTGTAATCCCAGTACTTTGGGAGGTCAAGGCGAGTAGATTGCCTGAGCCTGTGGGTTCGAGACCAGCCCAGGCAACTTGGCGAGACCTCGTCTCTACAATAAAAATAAAAAAAAAAATTAGCCGGGCTTGGTAGTACATGCCTGTAGTTCTGGTTATGTGGAAGGCTGAGGCGGAAGGATCACCAGAGCCCAAGCAGGTTGATGATGGGGTGGCTGTGAGTGTGCCACTACACTTCACTCTGGGTGACTGAGAAAGACCCCCAACTCAAAAAAAAAAAAAAAGATAAATAAGACACAGTGTCTGTGCCCTTGGAATGCTAAGGCTTAACACATTCATGGAGGTAAATTTACACTTTTAAGCACCAGAAGTCTAAGATGTGCCACTATTCCACACAAAGACAAGGGACCAGACTCTTTGGGTCTCAGGTCTGCTCTCTATCACCCACAGAGACAACTACAAGGAAATACATGTTTTTCTTTCTTGCTGTTGACATGTTTGATAACTTGCATAAGGGTGGGGTGCAAGGATCATGGGTGCCAGCATTTCTTCTTGAACTATGAGGGGCATCTTTGCTATTGATAATATATCTTTCTGCCCCCTGCCCAACTTGGAACTCACTGATGGTGTATTTTGGTGAGGCTACAGAATCTGTCAGATAGACAGCAGCCATCATTTCCTCTAGGGAAAGCAATGTTGATACCATTTCAATTGGTTTCAGTATAGAGTCAAAGTGATAGAAATATGGAAATAAACATTGGTAGATTTTCTGGAAACAATATAACACATTAATCGGACGCACTCTTATTTTAGGATATAAAAACATCATAAAAGTAAGCACTAAATTGTAGTTCTGTTTTATGTAATTCTCTCATTTAATAGTTATCTTCCCCCAATCTAGTATAATTAGGCTTAACATAGTCTCAATCAGTGTGAGTTTAAAAAACAACAACAACATGTCATACCTCATACTGGTTTTGTTTGTACTTATATTAAAGTAGAACACACACACACTTGATTTTTACTACTATTCCATTAAATATATTTCCTTTTTAAAAGGATAAAGCTTTAAATAGGATGGTGAAAAAACATTACATCTAAAATACAAGACATCTATTTCCTTGTTTAAGAAATGCTACAGTATTGCCACAAACCTATTGGTAAATATGCAGTGACTTGGTATACTGATTCTCACATACATTGGCATTGGTTCTTTTTTTTTGAGTTGGAGTCTCACTCTGTCGCCCAGACTGGAGTGCAGTGGCCGCTCCCGGCCACCGCAGCCTCGACCTGCTGGGCTCCGGCGATCCTTCCGCCTCAGCCTTCCAAGTAGCCGGAATTACAGGCATGCACTACCACGCCCAGCTGATTTTTTGATTTATTGTAGAGATGAGGTCTCTCTGTGCAGGCGGGTCTCGAACCCGCGGGCTCAGGCAATCCACTCACCTCAGCCTCCCAAAGGCGCGGGATTACAGGCTGAGCCACCGAGCCCGGATGGCATTGGTTCTTGATTATCATATTATATACCACATGGGAAAAATCTGTTTAATTCATTCAGCATCCTTGTATAGCCATAAATAATTTTTTTTTTTTTTGAGTTGGAGTCTTACTCTGTTGCCCAGTCTGGAGTGTAGTGGCCGCTCCCGGCCACCGCAGCCTAGACCTGCTGGGAGGTGCTATAGACAGCAAGACAACATGAAAAACAGTCTTGCTTTTAGGAAACTTCTTAATATGGTTATGTTATTGAAGATCACCTATTCCAACGATATACATCCATTAACCAAAATCCGACTCTCAGGCTGTTGGAGAGCATTAGCCACCATGACAGCTCTTCAGAGCAACTGAGGATTTAGCAGAAAGCTCCCACAGTCCTGTGTACAAGGAGAATATCATCTCTTCAGGAAATTATCCTCCATTTAGCCTATCAGTTGTAAGTACCGCGATTATAAGTATATCTGGTTATGAGCACTTCTGGTACTTAATTTTATTTTTCTTCAATTTGATTTCAGAGTTCTAGAAATCCATGACATATCCGTAATCCTGGGAGCTTGAAACTGTCTCGCCATTCACCATGGTTTGGCTTTGCAAAGCACTTGATTCTGCCCCATGCTGTAGCAGGGGGTGAAAGAAATAGAATAGTATAGCGTGCTGCTTGAAAGCGTGGACTTCGGAGCCAGACCACCTGGGCAAAATTCCTAGCTCTGCCACTTATTAGCTATACGACCTTAAACAAATTACTAAACCTCCCTGTGCCTCAATTTCATTATCAGTAAAATGAATAAAAAAATCTGTGCTTACCTTCCTGTAGCTTGATGACTTTAATGCAAAGCACTTAAAACAGTGCTTGGCCATCATCAATGCTATATAAATAGCAGCTATCTCTGTAACAATTGATGGGTACCATCTCATACTTGCTAATGCTATACATAATAATATATCTCCTACCCAAAGATCTCTAACTAATGCTATACATAATAATATATCTCCTACCCAAAGATCTCTAACTACGTATCAAGATTGCAAGGTCCCAGGTAGTCTATGCCCAAGTCGCTTTGATCTTTCATTAGAAAGGCAAACAGCAGGATACTTACTGGAACGACTGGTTTCAGACTCTGGCCACCAGGGTGTGACACGCCAGGCTGGGCACCAGCAGGTGGGCCTGGCGCTGGGTCACTGCTCCTCCTCACCAGCAGTGGAGTGCCTGGGGGACAAAGCGAGAAGTCAGAGGTCAGAAGAACCCTGGGGGGAAGATGGTGTGTGGCATGGTGCACTTTAATTAAAAAGGTTTACAACGTGCTTTTATGTAAAAACATCCTATTTCTAAGGATGCTTGTAAATTAATCCAGTTAATGATCTTTTGTCATCCATTGATAGAAGGACACATGGAAACAAAATCTTTCCACTCTCCTCTTTCCCCACTTGCATTTCAAAATGAGCCATTGTATTGAGCAGAAACGTTAGCCAGTGCCAGAGTTGACAGTGTGCAATCTAAAAACTGATCTGGAAAATATATGTGAGTATTAAAAGGAATGATTATCCAGCAGACGAACGAAGAGGTTCACACAGTCAGTGTAATTTGCTATTCAATAGAGCCAGAAGTATAGTTATTACTGGCATTTGGTGCTTCCCAAATCTTCTGAATAATGATATAGACTGAAATAAATTATTTGCTGGGGTTATAGCATTAATGTCTATTTAAGTACACAAAGAGATTACTTCCATCTCCTCCTTTTCTCCTAAAGTAGATAGAACTGATAAAGAAAATAAGTTAGTTCTTCTAAAAATATATCCTGATTTCTTTTTAATTTAATAAAAGCTTCCACTATTAAATATTTGAGTCAGTTATTAAATTTTGAAAAAAAGATCATACTATTAGAAAGTTCAAATGAAATTCAACCTCAGCAGAGCTAGTGGCCTAACTGCTTTGACTGCAATTAGGCCTAAAATAATTTGTTTCATACAAATTTGGCCACTATAGAGGAAAAATCTTAAAAAATCTGCTTGCAGTTTAAAAATCGCTCTCATATAAAAATTAACATTTTATTTGTGTACTTTTGGGAAAAGAGTAAAAAACAGTGGAAAGGCAATTTCCCATTTATCAATACTCTACAAATCATTCCCTAACTCCCTCAAGTGATTGCAGTTTAAAGGAACATCCATTTTGTAGGTTATTTACAAACCTAATTTTTACATGTGCTTCAATATACTTATTTTCTACAAAACATATAATTGCTAATATTTTCCACCCTTGTTCAGATAGATGTTTTAAAAAACAATTTTTTCATAATAAGAAATTAATGTGCTACTCAGGATACAGACCTATGCCAAAAGGTACTATAAAGTCCAAGTTCACATTCCTTTGTTTCTTTTTTATTAGTAGACACATCACTACGTTATTCCTCCACCCCCATCTCCATTTCTGAAACTTCTTAACCAACTGCCAACCAACAATCATGTGGTTGACACTTGTTATCTGAATAAAACATTTTTTAAAAAAACAAGAAAAATAGAAGCAAGGAAAAGCATCATAAAATCTTAAGTAAATAGGATCCTAGTCCCATACCAATATTTTTTTCCTCCCTCAGGGAAAGAAAACTAAGTTCCTTTCAGATTAAGCTCCTCAATTTCCAGTAACATGAAATGAACAAGTCAGTATAAGTGTAATAAACTCAGCAACAATCCATTATCTTTAAAATTAGAAGAAAATGGGCAAAATCCATAAAACTCTGGTTTGTTTCCAAGTATTTAACCAGGCCAATATACTGCAAGTTGCTCATCTTCAATTGGAGAAAACAAACGAAAAGGAAAAACAATATGGTCTACCAAGGTATTACTTCATTGTCAAAAAACAAGTTGAGTTAGGGCCATAGAAATGAAAATTTTAGTGATTGACAATTTTAGTAATATTGCCTTTTCAGTTAATTCATATATATAATTTATAAATTCCAATAGTAAAATCTAATTCTGTGTTAAACCAAAGATAGCCTTACAAGTTAAAACTTTTGCCAAAAAAAGATGGAATTGGAAAAGAGTTCAGAAATGAGAAAAAGTGCTATTCATTAGTATTTTTCAGATAAATTATTTTTATTATTAGTTTTTTTAAATTTTAGATTCAGAGGGTACAAGTGCACGTTTGTTACATGAGCATATGGTGTAGTGGTAGGGTTTGCACCTCAGGTGGCCCATTCCCCAGATAGTGAACATTGGGCCCCATAGGTAGTTTCTGAACCCTAATCCCCCTTATTAGTGACCCCAGTGTCTATTATTTACATCGTTGTGACCATTTAGCTCCCACATATGAGTGAGAACATGCAGCACTGGGTTTTCTGTTTCTGAGTCAGTTCACTTAGGATGATGATCGCTAGCTCCATCCATGTTGCTGCAAAGGACATGATTTCATTCTTTTTTATGGCTGCATAGTATTCCATGTTTTGTGTGTGTGTGTGTGTGTGTGTGTGTGTGTGTGTGTGTGTGTGTGTGTGTGTATACATACCACATTTTCTTTCCAGTCAATTTCCAGTCAATTGTTGGTGGGCACTTAGGTTGATTCCATGGTTTAGCTATTGTGAATAGTGGTACAATGAGCATATGAGTGCCGGTATCTTTTTTTATATATTGATTTCTTTTTCTTTGGGTAGATCCCTAGTAGTGGGATTGCTGGGTCAAATGATAATTCAATTTTTAGACCTTTGAGAAATCTCCATACTTTTTTCCATAGAAGTATGATTAGATTTTAGAGGCAAAAGCCGCCAGCTCAGCTCAAGGAACAATAGTATTCCTTAGAATCATAATTTAAAAGTCACAGAATGTAAGGCCTAAATAAAATGGGAATTTTAAGTACTTTAAAGCCGAAAGCCCCACATGACCACATGATGTTATTCCACACAGTTAAATATTATCTGAGGGGCCACCACGGACCAGGATATACACAAGAGGCCATGATATTAAGATGTGCAGTCAGAGTGCTCATCCACTCTCAGCTTCTCCTTTAGAGAAAGAAACGTGGAAACAATGAGCATCTCCATACATTTCCACACACACAAAAGTAGGCAACAATGAAGTGTGCCAGGTATGTTATCTGTGGATTATTGGGGGACCCATCCAATGAACACACACTGCAGACAGCATCAGGTCCCCATCTTATTTAGTCAACACACTGAAACTTAATGGAAGCCAAAGAGATAGCTACTTGGAACAGGGGCCAGAGGAATCCTCAACTGGACATTTACCTGCTGGTGACTCACAGAGAAGAGTGTTGCCACACCAGGAAATGCTCAATTACTACTAGAAAGCTTCCCATTGACACTCGGGGCTTACGTCACACTCAGGAAAACCTTACCCAAACATTCACTGTACATATCCTTAGGAAGATGTCTAGATTCATCAGGTTCTCCCAGGCCCGGAACCAATTAGCATCGGTCAAGCCTTCCCTTCTTCTCAGGGGAGGAGAAGGTGAAGTCAGTTTCCAGCTGTCTGTGAATGGCGGAGCATCTTCTAATTCTCAAGCAATCACCATTTAAGGAAGGTGAAACTGGTGCTCAAAGAGTTACAGGTACTTATCCAACGTCCCCTTTAAATGTCACAGAGGCAGACCAGAGGAGAATCACCTAATTCATTTTGAGAAAAAGAATTTTGAAAGAGGACAGCAGTTAGTTAAAGGCTCAGACTGGTACAGCAATGAATAATGTAAGATATAAAGGCCAGCACAAATGTATAAATCTCAATCTCTCTCTCTCTCAATCTCTCTCTCTCTCTCTCTCTCTCTCTCTCTCGGTAGATTTGTCTCCAACTTGGAGGATGTTTCAGATGGAGAAGGCTTAAATGACAGGTGATAGTATTCAACATTATGTTGTGGGGGTTTTGAAGGATAGACAGTTATAGAGATTGAAATCAAGATCTTGAAGAATCATGAAACATATGATGATGCAGGTGGCAGAGGAAACCATCAATGGCTTTATACACAAGCCAACATCAAAAGTCACAAGACATGTGTTCTACATCCTATGATGAGTAACAGCAGGGATTGATTGATTGAGTGATTGATTGATTTTTCATTTGAAGTCTCACTCTGTCGCCCAGGCAGGAGTGCAGTGGCACACTCACGACCACCCCAGCATTGACCTGCTGGGCTCCAGCGATCCTTCCACCTCAGGCTTCCAAGTAGCTGGAAGTACAGACATACACTACCACACCTGGCTTATTTTTCATTTTATTGTAGAGATGAGGTGTCACCATGTTGCCCAGGTTGGTGTCGAACCTGTGGGCTCACTCAATCCCCTTGCCTTGGCCTCCCAAAGGGCTGGGATTGCGGGCTTGAGCCACTGTGTCTGGCCGGGATTTATTTATTTAAAGATGATTAATGATTCTTCTGAGCAAAACCACAAGGCCAGTTTGTCACCTATATTGTTGCCACTTCATCCTACGTGATTGATCCCTGGAGAGCTCTGGGTGTAGGGGTCCCAGTGAAACTGCTACCAAGACATTCTGTAAGAACTAAGGGGCTTGTGCACATAGAGGCTGGAGAAAATGTGAAGAAGGTGATGGAGTGTCAGCTGTCACAGGGAGAAATGAGGAGAGAAACAGGAGGACACAGGAGAACTCAGTCACTGATTACACATAGAAAGCCAACAAGAAGGCACATCAGACAGACTCCTAAAATCACTCTTGTGTTTGACTGGGGGAAGAGCAATGGGGGCGTTTTGGCAACTGCTATGATTTGTTTCACAGAAAACAGGAATTTTGGCTTCAGCCCATGGAGTATTCAAATGATTTGCTTTTAATCTAAAATGTCTAGATATGCATGAAAAACCAAAGACTAAGTTTACAACTGGGTGTTCACAGAGGTGAATATTAAGTTGAGACCTGAAATCATAGTAACTTCCAGAATGAGTGGGCAGAGATAAACTTGGAGTGAACAGAGGTAAAGAAAAGAGGAAGAAGGTGTAGGTCTATTAATAGCATCACATGCAAAGTAATGAGAAAACCAGGATTTCATGTTCTCACAGAATTTTCAGAAAGAAAGAATATCTAGAATGTTGAGTAGAGAGCCTCAAGGAACAGGTGAGGTGGGAGGATGGGGAAGGAAACTGGTATTAACATGATAACCTGTTTACAAGTCTTTATTTTCCTACACTCTAAGGGATTCCTTTGGTGATACTGAATTATCAAGACACTCAGATAGTTTGAAGAAAGAAAACATACTTTTCTTCCAGTGCTGCTGATACTTAGGATAACAAGATAAATATGAGCAGAAAAAAAATGCTCAGAATTAAAATACATTTATACCTGTATATTGATGATGAAAATGAATTTTAAATGGCTAACACTTCTACAAAGTTAAAAAGAGAGAAATTTAGGGGAAAAAAACATGCTGCCAGGTAATCTGTATTAATAGCACAGAAAGATAGCATAGGCTGTGTCTTGGTTTCATATATTACATTTCTTCAAGAGACTCTGTAACTAGTCAGCACCCAAAACAATACCTCTCAATTATCTTGAACTTCAACACTTCTTGGATGGTTTTGACATTATAGCACGGGTGGGTCCTCCAGAGATGTGGTGCAAAGAGACTCTGGGTCAGAAACCTGTCTTCTAGTAGTGGTTCTGGCACTACATCACCTCAAAGTTCCCCTGTAAGTCCAACCTTTCCTCATCGGCTACACGAGCATGTAGGAAGACTACCCCCAAAGTCCCGCATCAGACCTACAAAGAGACAGTTCTATGGTTTATGTAGCTAACAAGAAAATGGAAGTCCAGGAAATTAAGCTTCTACATCTCTTGGACTTGATTTCTATTCCAGTCCTGTTCACTTGATGCTTTTCTACTGGGGGCCACATTCTCCATGTGGTAAGTGCAGAGAAAGGAGATGGCATCTCTTCAATACAGCAGTAATTCTTTTAATCTAAAGAGGTCAGCAGGAAAACATATTTTGATAGAAAGACACAGATAAAAGGAAAGGATGGTAGATGCTGAGTAGCTAAGGGGCAAACGTCAACCCATGGTCTTAAGGACACATCTGGTGAGATGCTTGATTCCAAATCCAGGCCTGTTACATCTCTCCCTGCATGTACGGTCTCACCTGAAGATGAATTACACGTCATGCCAGAATTCCTATTACTCCTGTCAATACCTCAATAAAAGAGACTAGTGAGAGTGGTATATCATTTGTTTTTGAAGACAACTAGATTTTATTTTTGTGTGGATTTTATGGGCATCAGGTAGGGTTTTTTCAGCTGATGCCTAACAAACCGCACAGCCCTGAAATCTGGAGACCAAGCCGGGTTCGGTGGCTCAGCCTATAATCCCGTGCCTTGGGAGGCTGAGGTGAGTGGATTGCCTGAATCCGCGGGTTCGAGACCCGCCTGGGCAACTTGGTGAGACCTCATCTCTACAATAAATCAAAAAATTAGCCGGGTGTGGTAGCACATGCCTGTAGTTCCAGCTACTCGGAAGGCTGAGGCGGAGGGATCACTGGAGCCCAGCAGGTCGATGCTGCAGTGGCCAGGAGTGGCCACTGCACTCTAGTCTGGGCAACAGAGTGAGACTCCAACTCAAAAAAAAAAAAAGAAATCTGGAGACCCATAAAAAAATTGGTAATGATATCAATAGCAGCACGATTTATGGTGAAGTACTGAGAAGAGTGCTCTTTCGCCACAAGAGCACCTGACCAGGTTGGTGCTGGACTGTGATAAAGGTCACAGCTGAGACACATTTTCAGACACTGGGATCAAAAAACCACATGAGAGAAACCAAGGGATTAAAAAAAAACCACAAAAGAGAAACCAAGGCAAATTTTTAGCATCTCAAAAACTTGGATCTTAAATATCACTCCATTAGAAAAGAGGTTCCCAGGGTTGTCCTAAAAGGAGCAAAGAAGTTCAAGCTGACTAACATTTATTACATTTATCTTTAATTTCAGATTGCAAAAATCATACTTGTTCAACACATGATGGGACAAACGCCAAGCAGTCCACAGGATAGTCACCAGTGACACAACAGATATGAATGAGTACATGCGTGATGAAGCACTCTTTAGTATTTGGAAAACCACTTAAACTAGCATTCCAGTCTGATAAAAACTCGTGAAGGGAGTTTCAACAGACTTTTATCAAGACTTACACTTTTCTCTGAAGCAAGTACACACTTTTTCTTCTATTGAAGTTTCCACATTTTATTCTGGTGATATATAAATCTACAATTTTTCATTGTTTAAAAACAATTTACTCATGCTACTGAAAGATCAGTGAATGCCAGGTGTCAGACATGCACTAGTTCCCAAGGGTTGTTATTAAAAACAATGATAAGTGACAGAGGAGGTTTAGGACAAGCAGAGGTCCAGGTCTTTGAAAGGCATACACTCTAAAAATTAAAAAAATAAAAAATTCACAGGCATAAATAAAGACACCTGAATCAATGAATCCAACTAAAGCTGAATCATAGAGGTAAAGGGAAGGATTTTAACATGTGCATGTCAACCTCCTAGTTCCTTGTTCTGGCATTCAAGGACATCAGTCCTTGATGTAATCAGACCTCTCTGATTATATCTTGTATGGCGTTCTTTGCTGTGTAGTATATGCTAATCAGGACCGCCTGCCATTGCCTAAGAATGCCCTCCACCATCTGATCACTAAATAATCCCTCTCTGATATTGCAGTTGGTTGTAATCATGACTCATGTCTAAGATCCACTCTAAACAATTGTAAACAATCTCTACCTCTTTGAAACTCCCAGATACAGATTTGTTACGGAGCTAATGAAGGTAAGTTCATGGGCCCTCTTATACAGGAACCACTTACATGATCCCAAGAGGAACCTTGAATCTTAAATATCATGTTATCTCATGATTATATAATTAGTAAAATAATTTAGTAAAATTCACCTAAGTATTGTAACTGCAATAGGTTAATCTTATTATGGTTTTCGACTCTAATGTTCTGTCCATCACATTCTTTCTCCTGTTGGTTACCATGGAGGGGTCAAGAGGATTTCTGGGATCCATTTAAAAGGAAACAAATTTGAAGATATATTTCTTTTGAATATAGTAGACTATCTCTGTGTGATTCACAGACACTTCTCACTCTCACTCGCTGCCAGTCATCCTAATGAGTAATAAAAGAATATTCCCAACACACACTGTGCCAATGTGTGTTGGGAATATTCACCCACTTACATGATACAAAGGTACAAGGCCAGGTGACATCATGAAATGGCTGTGCTGTTTTTGTATCCAGCACTATAAGTACGTGGGCACTAGAAGATCAACAAAATTTGAAATGCACAAAGCCAGAAGCCAGTCTATGGAAAATTTGTTCACTCACCAAATGTATAAAACTATATACAGATCATTCAGGTCTCATTGACACTTTGACAAACGGGAAGTTCTCCTTTTCCAAATATACTTGAAAATGCTACACAGAATTAACATTCACATGCTATTAAGACCCAAACCTGTAGCAGTCTCACAGTTACAAGTATGAGTATGTGAAACTCCATGTTTCACATCCCAGATGTTACCTAAACAAAAATCATTTTGATTATCTATGCTACAGCACAGAATCAACTATCCAAGTATTCAATCTATTAAAAATGATATTACATGTGAAAAGGTGAGTGAAAAATATGTAGCCAAACGTTATAGAGAAAAAGTATAATACTGAGAAATTTTTGAGGATTAATATATCATTAATAAATATTATTTTTATATTTTATGACATCTCATATATTAACTATTAAATATGTTAAATGTGATTTTTTTGCATTATAAGTAAGAAATATATACACAAACATATAAATGTGTTTGTATTTAAAAATTTTGTTCCTTCTCTTAAATAACAATCTCCCAAATTTTGTACATTTAGAGCCTCATAAAATAAGGATTTGCTTCTATATCATTTTGGAGTATGTTACAAACATACATATGCCTTGTCTTATGTATGTACTTTTATTTACCTTGTCTCCCCTTAATTTAGTCATTAAATAAATATTTACTAAATGTCTGAAATATGCCAGGCAGTCTCCTAGACCCTCTGGACACATCAGCATGCAGCACACATAGGTTTTGTTCTTGAAGAAATTGTGTATTGTTAGGGAAAGACAGAACATAAACATGTAAATAAGTAAATATAGGCATTTACGTTCAGGATAAAACAATTTCCTAAACAGGAATGTAAGGGAGAAAATGATGGCCAGTGGTAAAGGGGGACAATATGACACTATAAGCCCTATGAGGGCGAGAGGCTGGGCACTGTCACTGAGGATTCTCCCAGGTGGGTACTAAATGGACGCATGCTAAGCTGAACTAAACAGAGCCATAGGCATAAAGATCAACCTTTAAGTTCAGAAATCTCTGAAATCTGAAATGTCCCAGACAAGGAAAATTTCAGGTCATGAAATTTATGTTCCCCATTTGTAATTAAGTTGCTACTGGCTGGATTGTTTCCCTTAAACTAACACTTTTTCATTCAGATTCAACATTTATTCTAAAACAAACACTCTTCACACTAATGTACCACATGTTATCAGCCTTGCAACTTAATGATAAGTGAGCATGAAAGTGACACTAACACCAATGCTAAACAATCCCAGCAGAGGCTCTGAGAAACTGACTGCAAGCTTGTCAATTACTGTGGTTTATAAAGATTCTACTGCCCTGTCAGTTGATATTTCAGTTTTCCATAGTTTACAGTTTCTGATCCTGGATATTTATGCAGTCAATCTAAATTCACAAGATTTAGGAGCAACCTATGGACTTGCTAGAAGGATAATAGTTGGGTTTAGCTAAAAAGATTCTTGAGATGAGCTGAATTTCAAACAGAATTTGAAATATAGAAGATCTATGAAATGACATACTGGTGGGAAATGACGACTAAGATGTTTACACGGCAGGGAGATGAGTAGCTGGTTTTTGAGGCTAGTGATGGACACCCAGGTCCATGCATGGGTATTGATAAATCTGCTCAGCTAGAAAACAGGCATCAGCCAAACAACTAGGAAGCAAGTGGTTGAGGAAACTAAGGAATCTGGTTCAAAGAATATTACTAGATCTTAAAATGGGAGAGTTTTAATTTAATATAAATCAATGGCAGTGAGACTTACAAGGGGAGATAATCTATAGCATTTTTTCCCAAGTCTTGAAGAACCGGTTAAAATACATGTTGGAAAGACATTTATAACTTATGACTGTATGAAATATTTTCACTAAAAGAATGAGTGGTGAGATCTTTCCCCCCACGGTTTCTTTAGCAATTGTCTTATAAGAACCATCAAGGGAATCAGACTGTGTCCAGTGGAGGGGTGTTGACTAGGTAGGGGAGCTTGTGTGATTCAAAATGAGGAACATTTGGGATGGTGCGTTAGGACAGTGATGCTCGTCTGTACTAAGTGTTTATGGAACCATTCTTCTGTCTTGAATGTTAGGTTACCGGTGGGTAGACGCTAGTGGGTTGAGGAGAGACACTAAGAGAATGGTCCACTAGCTCTTTGCAAGAAAAGCAAGGGAGAAACAAGCAATCCCTTCAGGCCATTGAGCTGCAGTTGCAAACAATTTCTGGCAACATCAAAGTACTACATTCAAATCACCAAGACCTTCTTGATAGATGAGAAACATCCAAAAATCAATATATAGCATCCTGGGCACAAATCTATATGATTTATCAGCTGCTTTTGAAACCTTTGATCATTACATTTTCTTGGCTCATGTAGAGTCCCTGGCAGGGCTGGAAAAGAGTAGCAGGTTATGGAATTACTGCTACCTCCAAAGAATGCTCAAAAGATGGTTTATTCCAATGTCCACATGCTCCAAATGCTGCTTCCTTTGTAGCATTAAAGGGCCATTCAGGTCCTTTATTTTTCTGATAGATATGGAAGGCATAGTTCCTACCTAATAGCCCTTAATATTTTAAGCTAGTGTCAGTCAAATGAAGCCCCAGCCAGAAAACACAGCAACTGGGATCCTCCGGGAGGGGAGGGAGCTTGCCTCAATGAAAGCATTGGAGGCAAACCAGAGTCTTCCCATGTGGAGACTTCCAACATTTGACAATGTGATTGAGATGGTACTTGTTGATCCACAGCTGTCCTGGAATTCAAGGATCAGCTCAACCTT